CACAGACCAGAGGAAGAGTGGCACAAGGGAAGGCCAACACCGCGTGGGGTGGCAGACCCTGGAGGGTTCTGTGTGTCAGGGCGAGGAACTCATCCTTTGTTCCTGATGCCTTGAGAGGGTCTGAAGCAGGGAATGGCATGATTGTTAAAACATTTTAAAAGACTTCCCTGTTTTCAAGAGACCCTTCTAGTTGCTGTGTGAAGAACAGGTTTTAGGAGGATAAAGAGGAGGACAAGAAAACCACCAAGGCATGGTTACGACTTGCCTGAGGTGGTAGCACTGGAGAGGGATAGAAGCTGAACAGTATTTTGGAGGCAGAACTCCCAGTACAAACAGACGGGTTCAAAGTGCAAGGTGAGGCAAGGGGAGGAAACAAAGCTGATGCCTAGGTTTGTCTATTTGAGCATCTAGGGTGGTGTCATTTAAAATGAAAATCATAGTGGATATTTACAGGGTGGAAAACCAATACTTCTATTTTTGTCTTAGTAAGTTTGAGAAGTTCACTAGAGATGGTAAGTAGCAGTTGGACCTACAAGTGTGAATCTCACAGGAGATGTATTCCTGGGTGTTCTCTGTGATGATGTTATTTAAAGCCTTGAAAGTGGGTAAGATCACCAAAGAAGGCAATGGAAATTAAAGAAAGGCACCAAAACAATTTGAGGTGAGAAGGAAAAGGGCAACAAAGGAGACTGAGCAACAGTATCTGGTGAAGCTGGAGAAAATCTAGAAGGTGGTGGAAGCCAAGAGAAAAAAGTATCCAAGACAGAGGGAGGGATGGACTATGACAAATCCTGCTTGAAACTATCTGTCACAGGATAGTTTCAAGGCATTAGGAAGATATCTGCTTTAGCAGAGGAGTAGATAGAGATAGCTTATTATTTTTATTGCAATACATGCATATCTTAAGCCATACGACAAATTCAAGTCAAGTAATCTGAATACTGGGAGCTGACGTGTTGGTTTGGTGACACGGACTCCCCAGTGACATAGCCAAGAGCAGTTTCAGAGGAGTGCAGGAGAGTAGAAGCCGGCATAGAGGTACAGAGACTAGGATATGAAGAAGCAATCACTGGACAACCCCTCTGAGAAGATCTGCCATAAAGGGGAACAAAAACAGATGAGTTGGAGCAGACGGTAGGGGTGTGACACCAAGAAAGGTTTTTTTAAATATGGGAGATGATTTGTATGTTTCACTGATGCTTGTGTCATGATAGGAAGGATCCGGGAAACTCACTGGGTGAAACTGATGATACATAAGGGGGAAAGCGTAAGCAGTGGAGATGAACTCTAAACCACATGAGGTTCACCATTGATTAGAACAGAAACAATTCATCTGCTATCACAGGAGAAAGGCAGAAAACACATGGACAGAGAACATGATACACTGCAGATTTGTGGGTGAAAAGATGAGTGCATTACTGTGTTTGTATTTTTCTTTACTATTATGTATTGCATTGTTAATCTAATATGAATGAACTTAAACATAGGATTTTGAGTTAAAATTCTGAAAATAACCCAGTGCTGTAAACTTAACTTGATAATACAAAATAAGTTATTAAAATAGTACAAATTCATAGGCACAAATTCGGTAATGCAAATTCACAACATCAATGAAATGATTTGTTACAAGATAGTTTCAGGGCATTAGGTAGACACCTACTTTAGGAGAGATATAGATAGAGATGGTATGTTATTTATATTGCAGTACATATATGTCTTAAGCCATAGGACAAACTGTAAGGCAATATTAGTCCAGAAATATTGTTGATAAAAATCGTTTCCATCTTTATATACTATGTATTGACTAAATAACCAGTAATAAAGTAAATGACAGTTCCTATAAATAACTGTCAGCTTATCTTGATCATTTGTAAAATCAAGAATTGACAACACTGAGGAGGTATACCTTTAACACAAAATATGCTTACCCCCTAAACTGTGGGTGTTTCAGTAAGCTTTGTGTGTTTAGCTGTGTACATGACAGACAGATTTTTTTTCTGGCTGTTGGATTGGGGTCCTCAATAAACTCTAGAATTTTACTAATTTTTTTGTGAATACTAACCTTTAGGAATGCTTAATCATTTTCTAGGTTACTTGTACCCTTCCTGTTGGTAAAAATGAAAATGTATTCCTCATTTGCCTGTAAGAACCAAAGAAAGTGAATTTTTAGACCAGTTTAAATCCATCAATGGCTCTCAGATCATACTTGTATGACTATGACTCTAAATTATCTTTCCTCCTTTGGCAATTCTTTAAATCCTTGAAAAATTGCTGTGAGTGAATGATTACATTGGCAGTGATCTGAAGGAAAGAAAACAGATCTGTTAAAAGGAGGATGTTTTGCAGTTGACATTTGGGTTTGTCTTTCTGGTTTTAAATTTCAGCTTTGGCACTTAAAGATCTTTGATTTAAGAGGGGAAAGAAAGAGGTGCCTGTTGCAGGTGGCTCCTGGTTTGTGTGTTCTCACCGTGTAAGAGGTGCTTTGAGGCATGTGACCGCTGTGCATCACAGGCCCCATGGAGCAGGGACTTGGGATAGCATTAGGCACCTGTGCACATGGACCCCAATCGACTACTTCCTCCCCTCATTCCAGACAGAGTTCAGTAACCATTGTCAGTCTGGGCAAGGACAAATCTTATTCTCTGACCAAGTCTATTAGACAGTGGGGCTGCAATTCAGAAGGGTTTATGTAAAGAAAAATTTCACCCAGTAGATGAAGAATAGCTACACTCAGGAAGGGAGTGGAGAATCAGTAATTCACTGGACAGGCACCATTTGGAATGGTGGTTTGGGGTAGAGGCTCAGAGTGAAGCAGTTATCCAATGCTGACTGGTTCTCTTGGGGTTGCTGCTTCCAGGTGGGGACCTCCCCACTTCAGCTTCTTTGGCATGGCAACCTCTCCTCTGAATAGCCACTCCTACCCCGTACCCCACTCCTAGTCTGCCAGTCATCCATGCCTATGTTGGAGGCCCTTTGCCTTGTTGACTATCTTTTCACACAGGAACCCCTTAAGATATCTCTGGGCTAGTTCTGTTTTCCAGGGTATGTACATTTGGCCTCTAGAGACTGTGCACCTTTGTTCCCCTGGGGGTGGGAGTACAGTTTTATCCTGAAGGGACTGAGGATTGTTGAAGGATTATAAGCAGGGAGGTGACATGATTCAGTAAACTTGCAGGTAAAGCACTGGCGAGAGTGTGGCTCGATAAGGAAATGTGAGATGGAGACAGACCACCTAGTCATGATTGCAGAGTCCTGGCAAGAGCTAATGAGGGTCCATTGACAATGCTGAGAAGAAGATAGATTTGAAAGATATTAATATTTCAGATATGAAATAACTTAATAACTTTAAGTGGCTGAGGAAAAGTGAGTCACCTACCAGGTGCCTTTCTGTATTATGGGTGCATAATAGACTTAACCTCACAACACTGAGCTGCTAGCATAAGATAATAGACAGGAGAAATCATGCTTGGCATCAAGTCATATTTGGACACTTTTATTTTGATGGTTATCAGCTTTTCTTCTCTCTTCTCAGTTTGTAAACAATCTGCAAGGAATTGCATTCTATAAGGAACATTTTTGAGTATCGTTTGCTCTATTCCTTTACTTCTTCGGGGATTCACCGTACACATTTGCGTTTAAGTACTTGTGGTGTACGCGATGTAAAGGAAGCCCATAAATGTTGTTTAAATTCTTTAGGCTAATTTGAACTTTCTTTTGAAATAAACAGACTGTCTGCCAGACCTCATTTTTGTTTGTGTTGAGGTCTGTCCCACATAATCCTGGATGTGTCCATTTCCAGCCCCACAATTTGGTATTTATTCTAAGCAGCTGCTTATGAAAGGTAGAATTTAGCACTGATCAGAATGGCTCGAGGTGGGTTTCTGTTTCAGCCCAGGGTTGCTGAGGAACTTTCCCTTGAATGCTCTTTCATGCTTTTACACCTACATTTTGGCTGTGAGAATAAATCTAGTAACACTGTTGTTTGGCCTTTTAGCACATTGCCAGCTCTGGTGATTGCAAACTAACTGGTGTTGTACTGAACACTACTGAAATAAAATAAATGAGTCTGATTAAGCTTGGAACTCTCGAGTACTACAAATGTGTAAAAACCATCAACAGATGCTGTCTGCTGAAACCAAAGCTCCTCTAGCAGATGGATGAAAGTTAAACATAATTTGTACTGTTTCCTTTTCTTTTGGTTCATTTGTTTTTAATAGAGTATTTTTTTTAAATCCTGCTATTCAGTTACAATAAATGTCTGGCATATGTTTCATGGCTGTTTTGGGTATTCTAAGATCTTTGAAGTTACAGTCATACTATGTTTTATTATATGAATTCATTGAACATGTAGAAACAAGTTCTTACCAGAGTTTTAAAACTTTCTTTGGCGTTCATATTTCCATGAAAATAGTAGTGAGAAATAATCACCAAATATTCACAGCAGAATGGAATGTCTCTCTTTTAAATCTTTGGCGTTGGCTATAGAATAATATCAATCATATCTCAATCAATCATTTAGTACTTGAATTTTTTTTTACCATATTTTAGTTTCTCATATGCTGTCTCATCATTTAAGTAAGACACACAGAAGAATGGTGTTTAAATCCCTCATTCATTTTAATGGTTTATATGCCATGTAATACAATCACTATTAATTGATGCTACCTTTTAAGAGTGATAATGGCATTTTTAATCATTCTATAATATTCAGATATTTCTTGGCATAAAATTAAATGCTTATTTTATAATTTAATTTAGAAACTCACATATCTCTAAAGAAATCTTCAATTCACTGTTCTTGCCTTTTATCTGACTCCTAAAATTATTTATCTAATAATATTTATCAGAACAAGTAACAAGAAATTTCAGCATAAAGGAATGGGGAAAGAATCGCACAAATATCTGAGTGGTTAGAAAATTATCTAAAATATTCATCAGAAAGGATAACACATAATTACTCTGTTTTTTAACTTTGAAACTTATGTTATTGCTATTTACAGGTTCAGGTTCATGTCGCTTTAGTTATTCAGACCCCAGCATCATCGTGTCATATGCCAAAAATAATACTGCAGACTGGATTCAGCTTGAGAAAATTAGGTTTGTTTTTTTTATAATTTAAAGTATTTTCATAAATTCTGATGTAGGTGGATTTCTACTTCCCTATTTTCCTGCATTCTACCACTGGGTTTATTCTTCATGGTTAAAAGTACTCTAGTTGTTAATTATGTTGCATTACATGGATGCACATGTTACTACCTGCCCAACTTGAAAAAGTATTCTTAGAACTGTCATTTTCCATCCAAAACTTCCCACTGTCAGAAGTAGCTTTAACAAACTATTTAGTTTTGGTAAAAGCACACTTATAATAATAATCTTTATGATGGAATATAAATATCAGCCATCTCTCTAGATGATCTGGCATTGGCCTGGTTACCAGATCAGATTATCACCTAAATACCTTCTGGTCTGTAATGATTATGAGTTAGTAACCACTGGGCCTTTTGCATCTACTCTCTAGTTCTGTCATTTCCAATGTAACTTTCCTAGAGCCAGTTCTCAAATTCTACTATCATAGTTGTGATTCGACTTGTAATCATTTATTGCATTTTCTTTGAGAAAAAAAATCCCTCAATAAGAAAATGTGGTAGGATTCAGCATATTCAAGTTAAAACAATTTGGATAAATTAACAAAACTCAAAATATGTTTATACTGCTGCATAGTTTAAATAATAAAATTCAAAATGGATGCTAATTTCAGACATGCTAAGATTTAAAGGAAAAAAATACCTTGACCATTATAAGGTAGTTGTTCTGATTGGTTTAGTTTTTAAATTAGTATAACTTAAGTAAAACATTTTGCATCACCTTTGTACAGTTTTCTTTTTTTACGTGCTATTTTTCTTACTGTGCTCCATATTGAAAGAACCGTGATTTACTTAGGGAGGGAGAGCAAATATTAGATTGTTAGTCTTTAATACTAAACCAATTTGTCCAAAATTTCTAGTAGTATATTTTTTTAATTGTCACAAGTGTAAGCTCTAGTCTAACCAAAGACCAAGAAAAAAGATTCTAATTCATAGAATTTTAATAGATTGTCTCCTTCCGTAGCAGGATAACTTACAATTTATAGGTACCAGATACAAAGCAATCTCTGACTTGCTGTGTGACTTTTATAACAGCATTGTGCTGTCCTTTCTAATTTCTAGTAGTGATTATGAAAATGCACTCATATTAAATACTTATTTATACAAATGGCTTTAGGCAAGGCAGCATAAATATTGGAAATTTTTCCCATACCTCCATTTTTTTCTCTAAGTTATATATCACAGTCTAGGTTAATTGTAGTAGATATTTCTTGCTGGAGAACAGCTACTGCTTTTAATATGACAAATAGTGAATGTACATATTTAATTACAACCTATAAAGAGTATATTCATCTCATTCCACTTAGTTTCACTAAATAATACTTTTGATTTTGGTCTTGTAATCAAACTACTCAATGGAAATTTTTCTTACCATTAGTGATCAGAATAAACATATTTTCAATCACTTCCTAAAACTACAAAATATTATTTTCATCACTTTTAATTATTTTTGAAGCTATAAACACCATGAAATAATATTTTTAAAGAAAGGGGATTGATTACCCCTAAAGGTAAGGTACACCATCTATAACCAACACTGACAATTCTGCAGGTATATATGTGTTTGATTGGTAGTGAAAAATGTGTCTTTTCTGTAGTCCTTTCCAAACTGAGTTATAGTAAGCCCAGAGTACTACTAGTTTGCATTTTACTACCACTTTTAATCTTGGCTAAAGCAATCATTTTTACTATGGCAGGTTTCTACTTGGGTAGAATAAAGTATTTAATAAAAATACCTTATTATATAGCAGAAAGGCCTAGATTCTGTCAGATGTAATATAAATATAATATAAATATCATGTTAAATATATCAAGTTTTAAAGATTGATTTGCATGAACTTATAAAGAATTATAGATCATTTAATTCATAGCAAATCTCACAATTCATATAGACAAAACAAAAATATATCTGATTATTAGAAATAAAATAACTATTATGTAGAGATTGATTTTGAAACAGAACATACAAGGTCACTAATTGATGCAAAGTTTCAAAGTAAGAACCAAAATTAAGATAATTTTATAGTTTTTCTCTTTTTTCCTTCTTAATATCAAATAAAATAAACTTTTTGATTGCCTACTGCATGCAAAAAATCTGTTCTGGATACACTTTGATTTTTTACAGGCACCATGGAAATGTGTGCTATTATCTCTTCCATTACTCCTTTACTGACTGACTTGAATGTACTTAGTACCTGCCTTGTGTTAAAAGTAAATCTCTTGAAGCCATTAGTATTTAAACTGTCATAACCCAACACGAACATTTAAGGGCTACAGGATTAAAAGATTTTAATCAACATTAAAATATTTAAGGGCTACAGGATTGTGAGTATTTAATCTGTAACATATATAGTATTTTTAAGACAGTGAAACTATAATCTTAATTTTAAAAATTGCGCTATGAGAAAGAACAGGTGCACATTGTTGAACTTTACTGTGACACCAATTCCCTTCTCACCGAATGTTCCAGAGCCCCTTCCAATGTCAGCACAATCATCCATATCCTCTACCTTCCTGAAGATGCCAAAGCAGAGAATGTCCAGTTTCAGTGGAAGCAGGAAAATCTCCATGTAGACGAAGTATATGAAGCCTGCTGGGCCTTAGATAACATCCTGGTCATCAACTCCGCCCACAGACAAATCGTTTTAGAAGACAGCCTCGATCCAGTCGACACAGGCAACTGGCTTTTCTTCCCAGGAGCTACAGTTAAGGTTTGATCTCTCTTTTGTTCCTTCTCCTCCACTCTGAAACTTGAAGCTCAATAACCCAAACTGTAACAAGAAAACTATTTCTACCAAACCCCCTAGTAAAGTAATAGGTAATACCCTTATTTACGCTACCTTCTGGGGAATTGTTGATACAAAAACATTCATTTATGCATCCATAAGTGCATAAGTACTGGGCTGAACCTAGAGACTATAACCAAAAAAGCAAATATGGTTCTTCCTTCCATGTGGCTGTTTAGTGAGGATAGTTAGACATGTCCACATGCAAAGACAAAACAGCATGATTGTTACAATTTTCTGGGAAAGTAGAGTGCTGTGTAAGTACCACATACAGTAATGAATCCAGACTTGAAGGCTTAGGAAGGCTATCCAGGAGAAAAGAGAATGTAAGCAGAAACCAAAGGGTAATTTGGAGTTGGCCAGGAGGGAGGAAGAGGGTTTCTAGAATCAAATATCACATACACAAGGGCTGGACAGTGAGAGAACAAAGCCAAGGTCTTGGGCCATGTTCAGCTTACTTGTCTAACAGATTTTGAGTTGAGACTTGTGGTAATTAAGTCTGGAACATGGCCAGTGACAAAACCTTGAAAGTCTTGCATGCTGCTCTAGAGTTTGAACTTTATCTTGAGGTGATAAAGAGTTACAGAAATGCTCCAAATAAGAGTCAGCCAATCAGATTTTGATTTTTGAAATAATCCCTTTGAGTCTGGAAGATGAAATGGAAGGGAGAGAGTGCATGCATGGATACCAAATAGAAGGCCGATAGCAATAGTCCAATGGGAGGTCTTACTGGCCAGAATTTGGGGGAGATGATGGGAAAATCTGGGTGGATTTCAGAGATTTTTAAAAGAGGGAATGGAGAAGCTTGGGACTGACGGAGATGATGAAGGAACAGTAGGTGTCAAGGACAAGGTCTGGCCAACTAGGTTGAGGGTGGTGCCCTTCATTAAAATGAAATATAAGAGGAAGAGCAGGTTCCCAGGAGTTGATGAATTTACTTTGAACGTATTGATTTTCTTTTTTAAATTGAGGTGTACTTGACATACAACATTATTTTAGTTTCAGGTGTATAGCACAATGATTGGATATTTGTATATGTTGCAAAATGCTCACCAAAATAATTAACATCTGTCATCATATACAGTTACAAACTTTTTTTCTTGTGATGAGAACTTTAAAGATCTATTCTCTTAACATCTTTCAAATATGCAATGCAGTATCACTAACTATAGTCACTATGCTATACATTATGGATACATAAAGGTTGATAATCTGGGGACAGACAAGAAGAAATATTTGGTGGGAGGTTAGATGTATGGATCAAAAACTCTGAGGAAGTTTGGCAATTAATGACATTTTGAATAGGAATTAAAAACATAGGCTTGCCTGCCCAGAGAGTGAGTGGAATAAGAAATTGTGCCAAGGTAATATAAAAAATGCCATGAGACCATCAACTGGAGCCTCTTAAATTTCTATCATATGAAAATAAAGTACAAATACAGCTTGGGGAATTTTTTTTAATGTCACTCTCTGGTACAAAAAAAAAATCTCATGTGGCCTGAGGGTGAGCTCACAGGAAGAGAAGCAAGTTGAATGTAAAGATCTGAGGTGCTCACCTCCTTTTAATAATGTATTCGAATTCTAGAATAATGATTCCAAATTATGTAGAGAACTTTCAACACAGGAACTGCCTGGACACAGTATCTTCTTCCTTACCAAACCAAACCCCTGGATGTGTTACTTTACGCTGATGAAGTTACAGTCAACTGGCATTAGGAACAGGCATCATCTTTGCTCAATATGAGAAAACACCCAGGAAACCTTATGGAAGGTGTCCTGACAAAGATTCTAAACCCTTGGGTCCTGTAAAGGGAGTCCACAGATATAGAAAAGAACCTTTTTAAGGCCATCCTATGTCATGTCCCACTACCACTTGATTAAAAGAGGACTTCTGCTGTCATCAGTCAGCATTGGCATAAACCCAGGAAAAATGTGGAGACCTCAGGGCCTGGGATCATGTCCTTTTCCCATGATGACATTTATTTGTTCTCAGTATTCCTTAACATATGAATGCACTTTTTATGCCTTGTTTTATAAGTTATTATACTAACCTAATTAGCTGTTTGGTTTCTTAATGCAATGTACTTCGGTACTACCCATGAAAACAGCACATGAGGTGTGGTTTTGCATTAGTAGTCATGTTTGATTAAATTACAACTTTGTGTGGACTATAGTTTTGCTTTGTGGTCTCTCATCCTACTCATAAGTTTACCATTCACACGTCTGAGACTTGCCTGGTGACCTACATTTACTAAGGAAGAGTCATTTTAGTAATGGTTTCTATCGTGGTCTTTGTCTAGTCTATTAGGTAGGAGTTTTTCTTTGATGTTTCTTTTTAAAACTTCTTTCTAAAATACTGCAATAATAAAATCTAAGGATTGTTATTTTAACTCATTTGCATGACTACCCTTTTGCTTTCTGGCTCAGACATCTGAGCATGAGAAAACTGCTTTTGCCAAGTGCTTTGGAGGTTCTAGATGAGAATTATTTATTTAAACTGTATACAATTTCTTCATTAAATATTGCTCCTTTACTTGGTAGCCTCTGAGGTGAAAACTGAATGCAGTCAATTAGAAAGCATGTTTCAATGTTTCTATTAGTCACAGGATACATTTTAAACATTGCTCTATTTTGGATATTTAGTTTTGAGGGTTACATTTGCTCAACCTACATATTTTTTCTATATTCACTAAGGCTCCAAGTTGTGTACATCTTAGTGAAATCAAAGAGTGAGTCTAATAGCAATTGAGGAGGTATGCTTAATTACAAAACAGAGCTTATTCAAGGAAAAAATGTCTAAGCACAGGCAGGAAACTTTGCCTAGGTAAAAAGAGCTACTCTTTATTGAGCAATTATTATTTGAGGCACTTAGCACTCCATGCACGTGCATGGACACATGCGTAGGATTATATATATTATTTCATGTAATTTGATCCTCATAAACCTATAAAGAAGGTGCTGTACTAGCCCATTTAGTGGGTATGGGAAGTGAACACAAAGATGTTTAGTCACTTGGCCAAAATATACCTCTCACCAGTGGCAGAGCCAGGATTCAAAATGCAGGAATCTGACTTGATCTTGATCTCAGTCACCATACGACTTTGCTCTTATAGTGCAAATGTAACTCATGTGCTTCTCTTCTGTGAGCCCTGTGTTTCTTCCCAACATCCGTTTATTAAATTACCTGCTCATTTTCTTCACCATCACTCTCTGACTATAAATCAAACAATTCTGATTTTTCTCATATTTCTTGATCTTGCTCCAGCTTTATTCCATTTGTACTACACATTCCTTCCTCTGGTGGACTGATTTTTATACAGTAGAACTTAGTAAGTTGAGCCCAAGCCCTGGTCTCTTCTTTCTTTTCCACACTGCAGCAACTGATTTTTATTGGTCCATCTCAGATATTGACAGCTGACCTAAAGTGAAGTTAAGGAGATGGAAGTATTAAAATACTTCCCTTACAGAGGCAGGAGGCATTTACAGTAACTTATACAGTAGGTGAAATAGAAACATGGTGGGTCACTAAAGAAAGAGAAACCAATATTCTCATGGTAGCAGATTGCTTGTAACAAGGATGTTAAGAGCCAAGGATCATATGAAGGTATGCCACTGACATAAACTCCAGCAGCATTCCTTCGTAGAAAATATACCATGCTTGCTCCATACTCAAGACCTTTGATGGCTTCCTGTGTCAACCTACAGGATACTCCCTGACATATAATTGAAGGCCCTCTCCAATCTAGGCCCAGCCTAACTTTTCATCCTTATATCCTGCTCCACTGGGCTCCAGCCTCACAAATACATTACAGAATTTTACACTCCCACCCATTTAGACATGCTTTTCCACCTTTCTTTTTACTCTGCCTAGTAATTCCCCTGCATCCTTAAAGGCCCAGTCTCAGTGTCATTGTCTATGTAAAGTATTGCATAGGTAATGTCTCCCTCCTCTCTCTGCTGATATAGTCATTAGGTTGAACAAGCAGGACTTAGGCGTAGGGACTGGCCATAGAAAACAGGTCCATTCTTTTTCCCCAGTGACCATCCAGATTCAATCTGACAGCTTCTCTATCTCTGCACTCAGAATGAAAACTAAGGCAGATCCCAGGACTGCAATAGACTCAAAGTCATCCTATCACCTTGTCTTCCAAACAGTCTCAGTTCGGTAACAAATATGATCAGCTCACTACAGTAATCCAAATTTCAATCTTCACCCAAAGCTTCTCCCCTCCTCCAGCCTGTGTCTGCTGCAGTGGGAAAGGAGGCAGTGGTCATCTCCTTCTACGTCCTCACCAGCCCCAACAAGTTTCAGCTTCTGAAGCCTCCATGGCTGGCTCTAGAGGAAGGAGAAGAGGCAAGAGGCAAATACCGTTATAAGGTGGAATTGATGATCCCTCAGCCTGGCAAGAGAACAAAGCTGGCTCTCTCTTGAATTTACCAATAGACTCTGGAAATTTCCCCACTCCTCACTCCAAAGCTGGGGATCTCTCACCTATCATTCTCCAGTGCATTTCGTGTCTGCTTATGCTGTTAGCCACTGAACTCTGGTTAATGACTACAGCCTCTTTTTCTGAGGGTTCCTTGTCCCTCCGGGGAGCCCTTTGGGGCAGGATCTTAGACAGATTAGGTCCCCTCTTGGGTGCATGGGCCCAAGTCTAGTCTATGGTAAAAACTCACCTTGGATTCATTAGGAGGAGAGTAGTTATGTCAGGCATCTCCGGGTGCTAGTTCAAGCCCAAACACTATGCCCTCCAAGTGGTAGCCTTGACATCCTGTGTACTGAGGAGAGGAGCAGGTACCTTCTTTTCTGATATGGGCAAGGATGGAACTTATAGCTCACCAGCAGCCCTCTCTAAAGAAATCATCTCTGCTCTCCAGCTTCCTTGTATCAACTTCAAGCTTGCATACCTTCAGTGTGAGTGATT